AAATATCCTGTAATGAGGGTCGATGATGGTTAAGAAATGGCTGGAAATATGTATAGTAAATATGCTTGAGGATCTAGTGAAGGAATTGCAGCATTAAAAAAGTAACATCCATCACATCTGGAGAAATGCTTACCAACGTCAATTAGCAGTTTAAATCTTAACGCTTTATTTCATTGTCCATTTTTTAACAATAATAAACTGCAAATACATTGTTGGAGGCTTTTTATTATTATTAATCAGTTTACACTCTCCACTTTGTGATTTTTTTCCGAATAGAGGTTCTGGGGATGGGACAGGAATGTGCCTAGTCCCGGGGGTTCGTGTTGACTGGCTGTTTCCCTACAGTCTACCCTCTTTTGCCTGAAGTCCTCTGAGTACCTTGTATGTTATCAACCCATCTTCCCAGGTTATTATATTTTCTAACATTACCCGCTTCTTACACACTAGTCCTAGCAGTTCTTGGACTAGTCTTATTTCAGTTTTTTCGACTTCAGTTGCTTTCTGTGTTTGATCAGGTGTGAGCTCTAGGCAGGGGCTGCGTGTTCTGAGAAATCTGACATATGTAGTGTATAGCGTCCCGAATGATTGTTTGAAATTACCGAGAGGCTTTTTCAGGTCTACTAGAGGTATATATTCCTCTGAAAATTGCCTCCGGCAATTTTCAGAGGAATATATACCTCTAGCATAATATATCATATCTAGCATCATATGATGTTTACTCAAAGGTCCTCCTTCGCCTTCAAGATTCGCAGCCTCTCTTTTCACTACTCATCGGTCTGTTTTTTTTTTCTCCTTCCATTATATTTATAAGGATTGCTGTGATTGAATTTCCTCCTAGCCATTTCTTTGAACATTATTGTAATCAGTCCCAATCCTGTTGCAGGCTTTCTATTTCTCCAGTTTTTATTCTCCTCATTAGTTTAACCTTATCTGCAAGCAATAAAATCTAAGACTATCTCTTCCGACAGGTAAAGTATACGAGGAACCGTACTGGTCCTAGCACTGACCCCTGTGGGACCCCTCTTCTCACCTCTGTCCATCCAGTCTGGATGGACAGAGGATGGACAGCTTGGACAGGTGTATCTGGATGATCTAGATACACCTGTTCAAGCTATTACAATATCTCTATGACCTTGGGTATTCGGTAGCAACTTTCACGTTATCCCTATCTGCTCCTTTTTTTATGCGGATCAATTTCTGGTGTAGTACCATATCATTTGCCTTCTTACTATAAAACACTATGAAGTCCATCCAGCCTTCTCTTTCTTGCTTTATGTCTGTCACTGTCGTAGAACTTCAGTAGGTTCGTAAAATAGAACCTTTCCCTCACTTGAACTTTTGTTGGTTGCCTCTGATAAACCTTTTACTCTCCAAGTGTTGCACGACTTTTCTTCTGAATGTCTTTATTACACTGAACAATACGCATGTCAACGATACAGGTGTGTAGTTCAGTTCTCTCTGCCTTCTTCCTTGAATACTGGAATAACATTTGTTTTCCATATTTGTAGTAGATAACCCGTTTCCGGTGACCTGTTGAATATTTGTGTTAGTGGTTCACACAGTGTTCCTCCATTTTGTTTCACAGTACAGCATTTCCTTCACTTAGTTCCCTGTTATGGGGATATTTTCTGGTCTGCAGTGGGCTACCCAATCTGCTCCTGAGTCTGGTGCTCAGTTTCCAAAAAGTCGTCTGTTCTCTTCACTGACTAATCTATATAGTTGGTTCTTTATGGTAAGTTTTATTCTGATGTAGCTATAAAGTAGTCTGATGTAAGTACAAAGAGGTTTGGTTTTGATTCAGACTTTCTCGCTATGTCATTCGCAAACTGTTTACCTGATTACTTTTTCCTTGCGTATTAAATCTATTCTCAGAATCACTGGTTTATCCATGGATGCTCTGCATGCATGATTATGACCAGATCTAGTTCATTACCATTGTAACTTGCTCAGCTATCAAAACTTTGGAGTCCAGTCCCTGGACCAATTATGTACCTCTGTAATCTTTTGACTACCGCCCACAGGATGGGTATGGGGTGCATAATAAACATATTAAACTAACTAACTCTCCATCTTTCTGGAGTCCCTTCTGTCTTCCCTATGAGTATTTCTTTGAATCTCATGCTGAGCTCCTCATATACTTCTCGGTTGTTTCTTGTGATCTCACCTCCTCCTTTCCTCAGCCTGATTACCTGGTCCTTGACTTGTTTTCCTCCTGATGTGGCTGTAGAACAGCTTCGGGTCAGATTTGGCTTTCGCTGTGTCATTTTCGTATTGTCGTTGGGCCTCCCTTCTTACCTGTGCATATTCATTTCTGGCTCTACGACTGCTCTCCTTATTCTCCTGGGTCCTTTGCTTTCTATACTTCTTCCATTCTCTGTCACAATTGGTGTTGGCCTCTCTATACCTTTGGGTGAATCAAGGGCTCATCCTGGCTTTCTCGTTATTTCTGTTACCCTTGGGTACAAACCTCTCCTCAGCTTCCTTGCATATTGCTGTTATATATTCCCTGCCAGTTCTCTGTCCCGCTGAACCTCATGCAGGAAATTCTTCATGCCTGCGCAGTCCTCTTTCCTGTAGTTTTGCTTCATTTGTTCTGCCCTTCCTGCTTCCGTCTCCACTTGTAACTATGTATTCAAAGCTCAGAACCACGTGGTCACTGGCCCCAAAGGGTCTTTCAAATGTGATGTCCTCAATATCTGCAATACTCAAAGTGAGTAATAAGTCCAGTCTTGCTGGTTCATCTTCTCCTTTCTCTCTGGTAGCATCCCTTACGTGTTGGTACATGAGGTTTTCCAGTACCACGTCCATCATCTCAGCCCCCCACATTTCTGGGCCCCCATGTGGCTCCAGGTTCTCCCAGTCGATTTCCTTGTGATTGAAGTTCCCCACAATCAGCAGCTTTGCCCTGCTCACATGAGCCCTTCTGGCCACTTCAGCCAGTGTGTCAACGATTGCTCTATTACTCTCATCATACTCTTGCATTGGCCTCCTGCTGTTCTGTGATGGGTTATACATTACTGCAATTACCACCTTGGGACCTCCAGACTGAAGTGTTCCGATTATGTAGTCTCTTGCTTCTCCTCTGTTGCCTCTCTCCAGCTCATCAAAATCCCATTTTTTTTTTTGATGAGCAGTGTCACTCCTCAACCCCTTCTGTTCCCTCCTTCTTTCTTCAGGATCTGATATTCCATTGGAAACATGGCACCTGTTATCATTCCTAGGGACTTGGTTTCTGTGAGATATATATCTGGTAATGCCTCTGACTCTTTTGTGACACTCCTCCCACTTATTCATTATTCCATCTGTGTTGGTGTACCGTACCTTCAGTTTCCTCTCCAACGCTGTGTTCTGGGGAGTCTGTGGGGTTAGAGGACCTGGCAGTGTGCTGTCGGATTCTACAGCACAGTGTGGTGTGGAGGCTGTAAGTGTAGATTGTGGGTTGTGTTGGAATAGCGTGTTTGGCTGTGGGGTTCTGGGGGTGGTTGTGTGTGTGCTTGTGCTTGTTGTTCTGCCCTGCTCTGGTTATCTTCTGTTTAGCCTGCCTTTGTCTTTCTTCGTAGCCCCTTTCATTTCTGTGTCCTCTCCCTCAGTTGCTGTCATTCTGTTCTTCTGTCACGGTCTAGGAATACCCTTTTGTATGTTGATGATTCCATCAGCCCTGGTTTCCCTTACAAGATCCTGCTCCGCACTGTTTCTGTCTTGAAAATCAGTTTGATCAGCCGATTTTTTCCCTTCAAGTACCCCCCTATTCTCTGAAAGTTTACTATCTCAGTCATGTCCTCCTCGCCTATATCTTTGATGATGTTCTCTATCTCCTGTTTTTCTTTCTGCCATCTTTCATTGCGTGTCCTTCCCTCGCTCTCCTGAAGCCCATGAATAAACACTGACTTCTCCCTCTCTTCCTCCCACTGTCTTTCCCTCTGTGTCTCAGGGTCCCGTTTGTACATGGCCATTGTCTCCCTTATTTTTTTCCTGTAACTCTTGGTGGCATGATGGTGCCTCTGCATGTGACCTGTCACCTTCTCCATCTTCTCTCCCCTCACTTACTGCTATCCCTGCTCCCAACAGCTCTCTTTCATTCCTCGGCCTGCTTGGTGGACTGAGAGGGGCTTAGCGTAAGTCTTGTCTCCTTCCTTTCCGTTGGGCTCTTGTGTGTGTAGTGTGTTTGTGTGGTGTGTGTGTGTGTGTGTGTGTGTGTGTGTGTGTGTGTGTGTGTGTGTGTGTGTGTGTTTACCAGTCACTTCCTCATTGGCGCAAAAATGATTGGCCAAAACTTTATCCAATACTATTCCGAGGGACAGAGGCACTGTTTCTCATCGTCGTATAGCCATGGATGACGTGGAACAACTTGCGGTGACGTGAACCCCGTATACACAAATCACTGAATGCACCAACACACACGCACACACGCACGCACGCACGCACGCACGCGCGCGCGCACACACACACACACACACACACACACACACACACCCCGGGGCCAGGAGCTCGGACTCGACCCCCGCAACCTCAACTAGGTGAGTACACACACGTGCGCGAGCCTGAGGTCCCCAAGGAGCAACACTAGGGCCACTGTTCTAAATTTATGCAAATGACCTGCCGGGAAAGATTGAATCTTACACATCATTGTTTGCCGATGACGTAAAACTAATGAGAAGAATGAGAACAGAAGAGATAAGAGACAGGCTACAGGAAGACTTGGACAAGCAGTGAGAGTTGTCAAACAAGTGACTACTGGAGCTGAACCCAAATAAGTGTAAGGTCATGCAAATTAGGGGGGATGGATAATGAGAGAGAAGCAGACAGATAAACAGAGACAGACAGAGACAGAGAACATAGACAAAGTTTAGTTGGCGTGGTGAAAAACTACAAATATCTCTCAAGGAGAAAGAACCTGAAGCGAACATAGTAACCAACATATCGTCAGAGAGCACATTAACTGCATTGCATCAGCAGCATTTGCGAGGTTAGATAACACAAACACAATTTTTTTCCTGGCAAGTATTATTTTCCTACTCCTTTTATTGCAAAACAATAGAAAATGCCTATTATTCCTTTTAAGCTTTGCTTTTGTGGTTTACAGGATGAATTTATGACAAAAAAAATGGCTAAATTTCAATAATTTTTCCTTGTTTTGGATGTAAAACAAGAACATAATAAAAGAAATAAAATTTACATAAATAAAATTTACACAAATTTTATTTTACACTTCCGAAACATATTTACAAAGTTAAAAATAAGCAGTTTTCTAGATTTGCGAGCATGCAACAAATCACTTTTTCTTTAAGCCCGCAAATGTAGTCTCCCATCATGTTTTCATTATAAGATCTCTGATATCTGTGTTCAAAGTTCATTATATCTTGGTGGAAGCGCTCCCCTTGCTCCTTTGAGTATGCTCCCATATTCTCCTTGAAATTTTCAAGATGATCATCAAGGGCATGGACCTTGAGGGACATCCTACAGTCCATCTGACCATAGCTTTTTACCAAGGTCTCAATAAGTTCCACATAATTGTCAGCCTTGTTGTTGCCCAGAAAGCCCTGTGCTACAGAAACAAAACTCTCCCAGGATTCCTTTTCCTTCTCTGTGAGCTTCTTTGGAAATTCTGAGCACTCCATGATTTTTCCTGACCTGTGGTCCAGTGAAGATTCCAGTCTTCACCTTCGCCTCTGATAGCTTGGGAAATAAGTCATGAAGATACTTGAAAGCTGCAGACTCTTTGTCAAGAGCTGTAACAAACTGCTTCATTAGCCCTAGTTTCATGTGTAATGGAGGGAACAGAACCTTCTGAGGATCCAATGGTTTATGTTTGATATGTCTTCCTACTGAGAACTCAGTCCTTTGAGGCCAGTGCTTCGTCTGGTAATGTGCTACTCCGTCTCTATCCCAGTGACAGAGATAACAGGGAAACTTGGTAAAACTTCCTTGGAGTTCCATCAAAAATGCCACCATTTTGAAGTCTCCAGTAACTTCCCAGCCATACTTATCACAGTTTAAAGCTTCCAGTAGAAGCTTGACACGGTTGTAGTCCTCCTTAAGATGCACTGAATGAGCCAAAGGAAGAGATGGATACTTGTTCCCATTGTGCAGAAGTACAGCTTTTAGGCTTTTGGAGGAGCTGTCAAGAGTCTCCACTCATCTGGATGGCATGCAATTCCAATTGCATCAAACAGGCCTGATACATCATTACAGTAGCACAACTTGTCTTCATTAGTGAAGAAGCTTGAGAAATGTTAGTGACGTTTTCTTTGGCTTGTCACTTGCACACTTCCATCCACCAAGTCCCACTCCATGAGCCTTGAAATCAAAACCTCAGCATTTGACTTTATCAAACCAAGATATCTGATAAGGTCATTGAGGTTGGTTGGTTTGGGTAGTAAGGATTCCTCCTAACAGCTGCATCCGTGAGATCATAGTCTTGTTCACTGTGCTCTTCATTTTCTGATTTGCCGATTTCTTCTTCTGACAGTTGACTTCTTTCTGGAGGTATAGGTACAGGAAGATCAGCACTGTGTGATACTGGTGCAATAAAAGAGGGAAGGTCTGGATAAGAAATATCAGGCGTATTTTTTCCAGTTCGGTGTTTGGAAGGATCCACCAGGCAGAAGCAGCAGTTGGTTGAGTGATCAGTGGGTTCACGTCATATTCTAGGAACAGTAAACTTCATAGCTCATTTTTTTTCTCCTCTATCATCCTGTAAAAGAACATAAGAATCAGTTTCTGTTACTTACATTTCATTGAAAAAATGTTCCTATTCAAGACATTACCCTTCACATAACTAATGACTTTCTTACCCTCCAGTGTTTTCTTACAATTTTCACAAGCAACAAGAGGTGTCCAGGTCTTGTCTTGGTCCTCAACTGCCATGCCAAAATATGCTTTGTAAGCTTCACACATTTTTTTTAGATGCTGTTACAAAGAACTTCTTTGCTCTTGTCTTAATGAATTGACCACATATGTAGCAGAATGTATCTGGAGAATGATTGCAGCCTCTTGATGCCATTTCACTTCTTCTGGTGTGTCTTCTCAGGTAGCCAGAGCTGAACTGAATGCTTGTTTGTGAGCCCATGTTTTTATATTTGCCAAGCAAAACCCTAGAACGTAATAGTTTTAAATCAGTCTTTGTTGAAAGTGTTCCAGAAGTGTCCTGACCACAAAAGCAAAGTTTTGGGATCAAATTTTTTTTTTAAATTTTGTTTAGTTATAAAGAATTGGGAAATGATGCTTATTTCCCAGGAACACGACAAGAGAGAAATTTTGTTACAGAATGATAATCTCGCAACTCCCATCAAGTACCTTAACGCAGTCATTTAGAGCTCTGTACAGCCTATCGTGAAGTATACAGCACCAGCGTGGAGCCAGGACCCCGGTCAAGCATATCTGGACACACAAGGTCTATAGGTCTGCAGGAAGACTAGTCCCAGAGCTGAGATGCTTCAGTTAAGAGAAAAGACTAAAGGAACAAAGCCTGTCGACTTTAAAGATGAAGATAATGACCACTGAACATATGATTACAATTACACAAGATACTCAAGGATTCAATTGGATAGATATGGACAGTGTGTTGGAAATGCAAATCGTAGGGACGAGAGGGCATAAATGAAAGGTAAAGAATATACGTAAGCAACATGGCTGTTAGGTAATATTTCTTTAGAGTGGTAAAAAGCGGGAGAAACTAGATGAGGATGAACAAAAAGGAGCAATTCCGTGATGATGAGGAAGTGGGAGTCGAATACCATACACAGGTCAAGAGTAAGAATGATATGTACCGAGAGGCCAGGAATCAATAATGCCGATGGTTGTAATTTACAATGAGGACCCACCTGTGACTCAACCCATGAAAAAATACATGCAAGCAGACACACACACACACACACAGCAATAGACGATATCATGACAGGAAAAATATTGTAAAATTGCTATGAACAGTAACACTTAGAGAATATAGACCTATACAATACATCATCATTGGCTCAGAAAAGCTATATAGACCCACAATCCCTGTGATGAATGACCCATAACGGTTTAGCGATTTACATAAATATTAATTACAACATATGATGGAAATCAGACAAAAAAAAAAAAAGGTAGGCGAAATATATATATCCCCCGGCCGCAAAAAAGCCTTCAGAAAGTACCACATTCAAAATGTGAATGAAATCTCATAATGGGTAAAGAATATCTCACTGGGTAAAGCACAACCAGCTTAATTCCACGGGACTCAGTCGTAGGTCCTTGATTCTTCCTAGTACAAGTGAACAATCTACCAGGGATGATAGACATGTTTGTGTAGGAGAGAGTGATGTAAATAGCTTAGAAACCCGACAAGTTGAAGAATAAGACACTCTTGCAACATTTGTGAATTTTTACTGGAAAAACATTTCTCCAGTCAGTGGCTTCATCAGATCTTGGGATCTTGAAACAGGGAATTCTCCTACGCTTTCGTAACCTAAAGGCATGAACCTACTTACACTAGTGAATTTGTCCAGTGGTGACTCCGCCTCCTCCTACTTCTGCTCACCTGACTGCATATGCTGTACTTTTATCAAGATTGATGGACTGAACACATCGACTACAGGCTGAGGGACTGATTACCTAAAACTCCTCATCTTTCTCAATTCTTCTCCGTATTGGACTGAAGAAGCCACTGGCCGGAGAAACGTTTCCTCAGTGAAAGTTCCAAAAAGTTACACAAATGTTTCATTCTTTAACTTGTGTAAGAGACGACGACTGATGTAAACTACCGGGAGATAACCAAAGAAATTATCAAATATGCGATTTCTGAAATTTAAATTCAGTAAAGGAAAACTAATGAAAATTGTCATAAGAGAATAGACCATCTTCAGTGTACATCCTGAGTAAAGGAACAATTCGGAGCCAATAAAGGACGAAACCTGTTATTAAATATCCTGCTTAACCCACCTCAGCGAACACATCAATATTATACGACTTCCACTCCTTTCTGCTACTAATACTTTTGCCTCCTTTCACTCTTCACTCCCATTCCTATATCTTGTGCCACTAAAACTACTCTCCTTACCTGCTACAACTACTACTACTACTTCCACTACCTGCCTTACCACTACTGTTTCTTCTTCTCTTGGTCCCTTCCTTGTCTTCCTCGCCTATGTATACTGGCTCCCTCACTCTTTTGTCATCATCATCGTCTTGTCACATGGCTTCTTCCGAAAGAAATAGTTCACGAACTCTTTGTAACTTGATAAAACCCACTGTGTGGGCGGAACGTAGTCAATAAAGGATCGCATTATATGGCTATTGTGTTTATTTTTCCATCTTGTCGGTATTTTATACCATTTATCTCCAATAGGGTTATCAAAGCTTATTCTTTGGTTAGCATTGAAAATGGGTTGGGCAAATATTTTCGTTAAAGGGGTTTGGGTTTCAAGCTGCAATGACACGATTGCAAACAAACCATACCACGAGTGGGGATAGAACCCGCGGTCAGAGAGTCATTAAACTCCAGATCGAAGAGTTAGCCACTGGGCCAGCTGGCTACAAATGTACCTAGTTGGATGAATCTTATGTAGCCAGCTGGCCCAGTGGCAAACACGTCGGTCTGGACTTTAATGACTCTGACCTAGGGTTCTATCCCCACCCGTGGTATAGTTTGAGAAGGACATGCCTACTATGGGCCTGTAGGCCTGCTTCCGTGTTTATCCTTTCTTGTATTGTCTTAACTGAATTTCATGATGCTCTAAACCGATGTGGGTCATTCAGCTCAAGAAGTTGTGGCGGCAGTGCCGCATATTGAAATGATTTCCTAATATATACCAGACCGTGGTGTACCTCCAGTTGATGTAGATCAGACCAGAGGTAAACATGACCAGGTGAACTATTTCCATGCATAATAAAATATGGTTAAAAGTTATAACCAAATATTAGAACTTGGACTTTTAGAAATAACTCTCTGTATTCTAACTTTGACGAGAGATTGTTGGGCTTTAGTTATTGGATTCATTATGTACGCTTGTTTTATGAGTACCTACCGGGCTTGTAGGTACATTTTAACGGTATCAAGTTAAAATCTTACAGTCAACACCCCACACTACTACCCTCAACCCACACTGCTGCCCTACACCTCCCACAATACCTTCCACCCCCACTACAACCCTCAACCCCCACACTACTACCCTCAACCCACACTGCTACCCTCCACCTCCCACAATACCTTCCACCCCCACTACAACCCTCAACTCCCACACTATTACCCTCAACCTCCACACTACTACCCTCCACCCCAACACTACTACCCTCCACCCCCACTACTAACCTACACCCCCCCACCCCCACACTACTACTGCTACCCTCAACCACACCACTACTACCCTAAACCACACTCCACCCCCACACTCCTCTCACACACTGTAAACCAACACACACACACACACACACTTCACCCCTAAACACACCCACCACCCCACACACCCTTCACACCCCCCCGCACCCTTCACCCCCACATTCCCTCCACTCCTCCCAGCCAGGGCATGCAACACAGAGTGGCATGTTGGCATGTATTGCAAGGCGTTGCATGAAAGTTTGAGTGCGACGTTCTGGCTCCGCGATACGACAAGCTGATCGCATTCATTATTAATACTCAACTCAAACAGCATCAGAAAATACGGAGTATACGACGGATGCGTTCCCCCTCTCCCTCCCTCTGCCAGCCTCCCTCCCTCCTTCCCCTCTCTCCCTCCCTGACAACATCTCTCCCTCCCTGCCAACCTCCGACTCGTAATTGCGTTCTGACTCCAAATAAAACGCCCAACATGTGTTTTAAGACTGCGTTTTTTCCTGTCATATATTATGTCTCTCTTTCTTTCCTCTTCTCTCTTCTGTTCTCATTCTCTCTTCCTCTCTCTCTCTCTCTCTCTCTCTCTCTCTCTCTCTCTCTCTCTCTCTCTCTCCCCTGGAGTTTTAATCCATGTTGACAGTATTCATTATGTGTTGTTATACCTCGGAATTCATGAGGGCGGTGTTGATATTGCAAGATTTTGTTCTTGTTTTTTAACAGGTGGTGCGCCAGGCTCGTATGCAAGACGCGGCCAAAGAAATTGTGTTGTTGTATTGCGGAGTTTGTTGCACCTAAATTATCTCAACACACACACACACACACACACACACACACACTTTGATACCCTCAAAGCTTGTATTAATGCCTCTGCGTATACGCTTGTGGACACTAAATGCAACGCCAGTCTTCTTAGGAGCTCTAAGCTAAACGCTGCGTCACTCTGTTAGTGGGTGGTTTCTAAGGTTAAGTTACGCATTATCCTTCTCAGTAGCTGAGATTTTAGGGAATGAAAAGAAAAAGAAAAAACACGTGAAAATAATTTGGATTTTTTTAGCAGAGGTAATCCATCTATAACTTAACTTACAAGGCAAACAAAAATCCACAGCTACGGTAAAAAACATTCATTTTTTCCTCGTTCCTGGATGCTATGTCTCCTGATGCACCCGTTCCCTCATCCTATAAGGGTGAATGTACTGCGGGATCTAGTGGAGACATAGGAACAGGGAAGGAGAATCCTGCTCTCTCTCCCATGGATGCTCACATCTTACTGATGCAAAGGGGGGGGGGGCCTAATTCTGCTGAGGCTTGCCCTCTGGAACACCTAGACAGGAAAGCCAAAACAAGGAGCTTGATTCGTATGTCCTAAGGGAAACAATTCCCACTCTCCTTCTATGGGGTGGTCGTCAAGTAATCCTCCCAGCGAGCTTATTTCTGGATCCTCTGCAGATTCTAGGTAGGACTGATATATGGGAAGTCTAAGAACCCTTCCTTTTCCTCTTTCCTTTTCCATAGCGCCGATTTCCTGCTTCAAGCATAGCTAGTGCACCCGATGCTCTTCGTAAGAGATAAACACTTCCTCCCGGGAGAAGTTATATGATGCCCACTGGAAGCGGTACAGATCTTTGGACTCTGAAGTGGGTCCATCAACTGAAAATAAACAAGATCATTCTACTTTAGAGCTTGACCTTCTCTAACCAGTTTATTGCTTTGGGTAAGGACTCTGGGAAACCCCATGAAGGATGCATCTGCTGTCACATGTCAGACTGCCAAGTTAAAGTTGAC